AAATCCTAAAATTCTTTACCATTGATCATGGGCAGCTAGGAAACTGGGGATTCTGGGAGTTGAAGTCCAAAAGATCTAAGGGACAGAGGCACTATACTACGGCTCTAGAGAAGAAGAGAAAACGAGAAGGCAACAATCACAGAATTCAAGTGTCAGAAGAGACCTGTAGGCCATCTGGTTCAACCCTCTGCATTGTGCACAGTATCCAGTCCATTTCTAAAATGAGTGTCCAAGTCTCTGCTTGAGACTTCTAGCAAGAGAAAAATTATCCTAATGTCCCAGTTTACCTGTCCAAACACATCTCCCTCTATGATCCACCTTGGAAATTAAGATCTTCTGGGGAGGCCCTGCTCTCGGTCCCACCTCCTTCACAGGCGCGACGGGTGGGGAGAGACAGGGCCTTCTAAATGGTGACCCCTTAGTTTTGGAACTCGCTCCCCGGTAAAATTAAATCAGCACCCTCCCTCCTGGCTTTCAGAAAGAAAGCAAAGACATGGCTGTGGGACCAAGTCATTGGTTACTAAGCATTGCAAGAAATGAATAGGGAATACGTTGACAATTGGAATGGCTTTGGATTGATTTGTATTATGTAATTTCAATATAATATTAATATGTTTTAATTCTTTGTCTTAATGTCTACATGTTGCTTAACTTTTATGGTTTAATATGGTTTTAATAGTTCTAATTTATAGTTATTTGTTACTGTTTGATTAATACTCTGGTTCTTACATGTATGTTGGCATTGAATTTTGCCACGGGTTGTGTTGGAAACCATTTTAAGTCCCCCAGGGCTGAGAAAAGCGGTATATAAATATAGTAAAGAAATAATAAATAATTCTAAGATTGTTTTTTCCATGTCAGGAGTGACTTGAGAAACTGCAAGTCACTTCTGATGTGAGAGATTTGGCCGCCTGCAAGGACATTGCCCAGAGGATGCCCAGATGTTTTGATGTTTTACCATCCTTGTGGGAGGCTTCTCTCATGTCCTTGCATGGGGAGCTGGAGCTGACAGAGGGAGCTCATCCACATTCTCCCTGAATTCGAACCTCCGACTTGTTGGTCATCAGTCCTGCTGGCACAAGGGTTTAACCCATTGCGCCACCCGGGGCTCCTTCTAAGTAATTGATAAGCTTTCATGCTCTTACCCTAAAAATAATCTATATGCCTAGCACCATATTTGTCTCAATTGTGTTTCTTTTTTTTTTCTAGGATAATAGGGGACTCAGGGCAGATAGAAACTCATCAAAGACCAACACTGGTCCAAGGACCAACACTTTAAGTAGTACTGTTCAAGACTATTATGCTTTTATTGTCTAATAAGATAGGTATGGTCACTGTATGATGATAAACCATACTTACTCAATAAACGGCATCATAAAAGGCAGGAACCATATGGCAAAGGACAAAGTAACTTCCAAATGGTGTCACACCTATTCTGAATTCTCAAAAAATATTGGCTTCAAGATGTGCATTTTTCTGTGCTCCAACCATCTCCCTCTCTGTATTTTTACATCCGGATCTGACATGTTTTTCGGTCAATATCATGTTTCCTGTTAGTTCTTCAAATGATAATTTTTACCATCTTTAAATTCAACATTGCAATATTGAGAGAAAAGCCTTTCAAAGCAAGGAGACTGGTACAGGTGCCAGAAGAACAGGAGATAGGCATGCCAATTAATAGCTCATGCCAGTCCATTCCTGGCATGCTCCAGACAAAAATTATATCTGAATTATGATTCAGAAACAATTTCTCTGTGAAAGGCGCCGGCAATCTGGCACCTTTTTAAAAGGCTGCAGTCGTAAGGTCGCTCTGCAAAAAGTTAACTTCATCAAAATCAGTGGGAGACACCACAAAGGAAGTACAGCCGGCCCTCTATATCCACATATTCCATATCCATTGATTTGAACCATTTAAATCAATGGATATGGTTTGAATTTTTAAAAATCCCCCCCTCTCTCTATCTATCTATCTATCTATCTATCTATCTATCTATCTATCTATCTCTATATATATAATGGCATAGTAACGTGGTGTCTCATATATATTGCATATCATGAGCATCCACTGATTTTAGTTTCTATGTTGGGATTCTGGAAAGAAACTCAGTGGATACTTAAGGCCCACTGAGTATTTAGGGTGGATCACTAGCCTTAACTTTACCATTATTTGCATTACAGAAATCTAACATGTGAGAAAAAGCTTTCACCTCTGTGAGAAATGAATGTTATCTTTTCTGCCTGTATTCCCAACCATGCCTATCCCCAAATATATTTATCCTAGTGTCACTCATGAAGGGAGGAAGTATTGTAGTTAAATATATTTACTCGGGAGACCTGGTTTCTGTAATAAGCCAAAATAAAAATTTAAAAAACTCATCTAACATGCCAGCATGTTTGGTGTGGTTTGGTGAGACACCAACACTATGGCAAGAAGGAAAGACTGCAATATTTTACAAATATGGCAGTTCTGAATAGTAACAACTAAATATGGCAGTTCTGAATGGCAACAACTAAAGTGCAAGGCTGGAAGTGAATTCAGATCCCTTTGAGTCATGAAGCTCACAGATGCCCTCGTTTCGGGTGCATCTACATTGTAGAATGAATGCTGTTTGACACCAGTTTAACTGCTATGGCTCAATGCTATGGAATCCTGGGAGTTGTACTGGTTTGGTGAGGCACCAGCACTTTTTGCAGAAAAGGCTAAAGACCTTGTAAAACTGCAACTTCCAATATCCTATAGCACTGAGCTGTGGCATTTAAAATGGTATCAAGCTCCATGAATTCTATAACATATATGCACCCTATGATTTTGGAAACCAAGGATTGATTACCCAATTGGTCACGGAAACCCGTTGTGGTGATCTTGGGTGAGTTACACACTCTCAGCACCAAAAACGCATTTGTCGTAAGTGCACCTTAAGGTCAAAAACAACATGAAGGCACACGACAACAAGACATTCCCTACAAAAAAAAAAGAGATACAGAGGGGACTGAGGTAGGAAACAAATTTGACATCACTTTCATTGCCAGGGTTCAGTGCTACCAATAGTTTACAAGGTCTTAAGCATTCTTTGCCTAAGAGTGCTAGTGTTCGCCCAAAGTGACAACTTGCAGAGTATCATAGCATTGGACCATGGTGGTTAAAGAGGTATCAAACTGCATGATCTGTATGGTGTCAATGCAGCCATGGAACCCCCGGTGGCGCAGTGGGTTTAACCCCTGTGCCGACAGGACTGAAGACCGACAGGTCGCAGGTTTGAATCCGGGGAGAGGCGGATGAGCTCCCTCTATCAGCTCCAGCTCCTCATGGGGGGACATGAGAGAAGCCTCCCACAAGGATGATAAAAACATCAAATCATCCAGGCATCCCCTGGGCAACGTCCTTGCAGACAGCCAATTCTCTCAAGTTGTTCCTGACACGACAAAAAAAAAGCCATAGAGAAATAAAATAATAATAATAGTATAATAATAAGGAAATAAAAATAATAATAAAAACAAAAAGAAAATAATAAAAGAAAATTATAGCAGAAAGAAAATAATAATAAAACAATAATAAAGACATACAATCATAATAAAAATATAATAAAATGATATATAACAGGAAAAGAAAATAAAAGAAATAAGAATAAGAATAGAAAATAATAATAGAGAAAGAAAATAAAAATAAAATTATAATAAGGACATAAAATAATAAAAGAAAATCATAAGAGAAAAATAAAATAATGGTAATACTAGAAAATAATAATAGGGAATAATAATAAAAAATAATAGTGGTATAAAGAAATAAGAATAGAAAATAATAGAGAAAGAAAATAATAAAAAATTATAATGACATAAAATAATAAAAGAAAATAATAAGAGCAAACTAAAATAATAATAATACTAGAAAATAATAAGTAATAATAATAATTAACAATAATAGTGACATAAAGAAATAAGAATAGAAAATAATAAAGAAAATAGTAATAAAATTATAAGGATATAAAATAATAAAAGAAAAGAATAAGAGTGAAATAAAATAATAATACTAGAAAATAATAATAGGGAATAATTATTATTAATAATAATAATAGCGGAATAAAGAAATAAGAATAATACTAGAAAATAATAATAGGGAAAGAAAATAATAATAGGAAAATAATAATAATAATAATAATAATGGCATAAAGAAATAAGAATAATACTAGAAAATAATAATAGGGAATGAAAATAATAATAATAGGGAATTATTAATAATAATAATAATAATAATAATAATAGTGACATAAAGAAATAAGAATAATACTAGAAAATAATAATAGGGAAAGAAAAGAATAAAATTATAATAAGGACATAAAATAATAAAAGAAAAAAGAGAAAAATAATAATACTATAAAATAACAAATAGGGAATAATAATAGTAGCCAAAAATAATAAAATAATAACACAGAAAGAAAATAATAATAAGAAAGAAAGAAAGAAAATAATCATGAAATTAAGATCTTGGGCCCTGTTCATCAGATTTGGCCACCCACCAAAGCCCTTTCCATTCCACCAGATGAGAATGCCGCTATCCTTCCTGCAGGAATAATAATAGTAAAAGAAAGAGGAATGCACAAGCTAGTAGTAGTGCCATGAGAGAGCCCGTCCTAGGAAGCCGGCCAAAGGGGAGCATCAGAGGCGACTGTGCCCAGTCCAGAAGCAGGAGGGAGCATCCCATGGTGACCCCCAGGCCCATCTTCCCCCCCCCTCCCCTCCTTTCCCCTCCCAGCCAGGATTCTGCCAAGTGCAATAACAATGCAGTCATCAGGAAAGGGAAAAAGGAGAGAGGAAGAAAGGGAGGAGGAGGAGGAGGAGGAGGAGGAGGAGGGATGGGCAGCAGCTCCTCCATCCATCCAGCCAGCCAGCCAGCCTGCCTTGCTTTCAGAGGCGGGCGCTTGGCCTCGCGCGGCTCCATCCCACATCCGAGGCAAAGCGGGATCCCTGGAGCCGCCCTTGGGTGAGAGAGAGGGAGCGCGAGAGCGAGCGAGTGAGCGCGCGCGGTTGTGTGCCGCTCGCTGCGACAGGGGCAAGGGACCAAGCGGCGGACGGAGCATGCGCGGCCCGAGCCCCCGGACTCCCCAGCCTGGGCAGGCGAGCTGCGCTGGAATTACAGGCAGGAAAAGGGAAGAAGGGATGATGATGACAAGAGCAGCCCCTCGGAGGGAGAAGCCGTGGTGAGAGGGGGGGCCTCGGGCTCTCTCTTCCCCCCCCCTCCCTCCCCAGCACCAACAGGTATAGCAGGAAGGGGGAGGAATGCATTGCATACACACAGAGATACATGTATATCATCTGTATATAAATATATAGTACTGTATCCAGAGGATGCTTTGGAGGGAAGGGAAAGGAAGGAGGCAGGGATGCTGTCAGCCCTCTTTTTTGCAATGGTGGTATTGCTTTCTCTCTCCTCCTCAAAGCTGCATCACAGAAGGCACTGTATTTGAGCATTGCAACCCTTTAAAGAGGGACTTTGAGATGCATGCCATTGGGAAGGAAGGAAAGCAGGCTTTTGACCCCCTTTTTTCAAATTCTGCTGTCCATATAAGATGCACCCTAGTAGCCAGAGCTCTTGCAAGTCCCAGTTTTGTGGTAGCAAAGCATTGCAACCTTTTTAAGGGGGACTTTGCGATTGCATGTCATTGGGAAGGAAGAAGCAATGGCAGGAGAGCAAGCTTTATCCTTTTTCAAATTCTGATATCCATATAAGATGAATTCTAGTAGACAGTGCTCTTGCAAGTCCAAGTATTGAGGTAGCAAAGCATTGCAAGCCTTTTAAGAGGGACTCTGAGGTGCATGTCATTGGGAAGGAAGGAAAGCAGGTTTTTTACCCTTTTCCAAATCCTGATGTCCATACAAGATGCATCCTAGTAAGGAGAGCTCTTGCAAGTCCCAATCTTGAGGTGGCAAAGCATTGCAACCCTTTTAAGGGGGACTCTGAGATTGCATGTCATTGGGAAGGAAGGAGCAATGGCAGGAGAGCAGGATTTACCCTTTTCCAAATCCTGCTGTCCATATAAGATGCATCCTCGTAGGAAGAGCTCTTGCAAGTCCTTCTAAAGGTGGCCAAATGCAACCCTATTAGGTGCATCTCATTGTGTGTGGGGGGAGAGATAGGGGTGATGGAAATAGAGTGGGATTTTGAAAGGGGGATGTGGGCGCTCGCTTGTGGGTTTGCTCTATGTGTGTGTGTGTGTTTGAAACAATGCTCTCATGATCTAATCAGGCTCTTGTTTACACAGCAGTGGCGGCGGCAGAGGCAGCAGCAGCAGCAACCAGGCGGTTCCTCAAAGCTCAGGATGGTGGATGGGCTCTTGCTCGAAGCCATTGTGGAAGAGAGAGGCTCTGGGTCTAGAACTGAGGAAAGGCAGCCTAGTAGGAAAGGCAGGAGGACACCGAAGGAAGGGCTCTCCCTGAGAAAAACCAGCCATGGAGTGTGTATGATGTTCTTTGTTCATCGCCCTCCTCCCTCCCCCCCCCTTTCTTTCAGTGTTAGGATCAAGTCAGGATCCCTGGTGATCCAGATCTTTGGGTCTGGGTGCTAGTCAAGACCATGTCTGAGTGGGTGCCTGGGTGTGTTTCCTCCAGACAGACAGACAGAGACAGACACATTCCGTGCTGCCGTCCCTTCCCCCACGAAAGAGAGACAAAAACCCACCCAAACACAAGGCTGTTTAGCAGAGGCATTCGTTTTGAAGGAAAGGAGCCGGTGTTGCGGGGGGGGGGGGGGGGGGGGGGGGGGGGGGGGAGAGAGAACCATAGGCAATCCAGAATGGTGTTGTTTCCCTTCCATGGAGATGAACTGGCAGGGTGTGTGATTAATATGCTTTGGTGAATTGGGTTAGGAAACATACATTCTGCAGGGTTGCTTTTGGACGTGTTCCATATCAACACAGCATCTGTCTCCAAAACATGGAATATAAACAGAAAAGATGAGCATTACTGGAGGTGTTGTCGAAGGCTTTCATGGCCAGAATCCATAGGCTGCTGTGAGTTTTTCAGGCTGTATGGACATGTTCCAGAAGCATTCCTTCCTGATGTTTCATCCACATCTATGGCAGGAATCCTCAGAGGTTGAGGAATCTTGAGGTATTTGTTATGGAGTCATCTCTGGATGTTTGGTTTCTGAGCAGGACAAGTGTTGGAATGGTGAAACAAGAGGCAGGTCACTTGAAGGCAGGGATTGTACAGCTTTATATTCTGCCCAGAAATTTGTCAACAAGACCAATCTGAGGAGTCCTGAACAAGCATTGCTTAGTAACTGTGCAGTTCCCAGACACAATAGGTTCCTGTGAGTTTTCTGGGCTGTATGGCCATGTTCCAGAAGCATTCTCTCTTGACGTTTCATCCACATCTTTGGCAGGCATCCTCAGAGGTTGTAAGGTCTGTTGGAAACTAGGCAAGTGAAGTTTATATATCTGTGGAATGTCAAGGGTGGGAGGAAGAACTCTTGTCTGCTTGAGACAAGTGTGAATGAAAGCCTTCGACAACACATTCTCGCAAACAAATAATAGTACTCCAACTTGCAACTTTCTTTGACTCTCCATAAATTAACATGTTGGATAGCACTTCCTGGCATCATTTGTATATTATCTTAAATACTCGTTGCTTGATTTTTCTTTCTTTCTTTCCCTCCAGATATTTGGATGGCATGACAAATCAGGAGGAGGAAAAGAGGATGCTTGATGTGACCAGACACCAGACCAGTTCTGCTTTTGGAATACATTCCCAGTAAGATGTATGGGTCTATTTTTTCCTTGTTCATATCTATAGATCATAAGACTTGACTGAGGCAATACTCATATCATCCATCCATCTATGGCGAACTATAGCCATGCAGCTGACAACATTTTACAAAATCTTTCCCCTTTAACTGCATTTTTGAAATTGACTTCTCTGGGTTTCATAATAGGAGTCAGTGTGGTGGGCAACCTCCTGATCTCCATTTTGCTAGTCAAAGACAAGACCTTGCATAGAGCTCCATACTACTTCCTGTTGGATCTTTGCTGCTCAGACATCCTCCGGTCTGCGATTTGTTTCCCATTCGTTTTTACTTCCGTGAAAAATGGCTCTTCTTGGACGTATGGGACTCTCACTTGCAAAGTGATTGCTTTCTTGGGGGTTCTGTCCTGTTTCCATACAGCCTTCATGCTGTTCTGCATAAGTGTCACCAGATACTTAGCTATTGCCCATCACCGCTTTTATACAAAACGGCTGACCTTCTGGACCTGCTTGGCAGTAATCTGTATGGTGTGGACCCTCTCCGTAGCTATGGCGTTCCCTCCAGTCTTGGACGTGGGCACCTACTCGTTCATTCGGGAGGAAGATCAATGCACCTTTCAGCACCGTTCCTTCAGAGCCAACGATTCTCTGGGATTTATGCTGCTCCTTGCTCTTATCCTTCTAGCCACACAGCTTGTCTACCTCAAGCTGATCTTCTTCGTCCACGATCGCAGGAAAATGAAGCCAGTTCAGTTTGTGGCAGCGGTGAGCCAGAACTGGACGTTCCATGGTCCCGGAGCCAGTGGCCAAGCCGCTGCAAACTGGCTGGCGGGCTTCGGAAGGGGTCCCACGCCACCCACCTTGTTGGGGATCAGGCAGAACACCAACACCACGGGCCGGAGAAGGCTCCTCGTCTTGGATGAGTTCAAAATGGAAAAGCGGATCAGCAGAATGTTCTACATCATGACATTCCTCTTTCTAACCTTGTGGGGTCCCTATTTGGTTGCCTGCTACTGGAGAGTTTTTGCGAGAGGCCCTGTGGTTCCCGGGGGATTTCTAACGGCTGCTGTTTGGATGAGTTTTGCCCAAGCTGGAATCAATCCTTTTGTCTGCATTTTCTCCAACAGGGAGCTGAGGCGCTGTTTCAGCACAACCCTTCTTTACTGCAGAAAATCCAGGTTACCAAGGGAACCTTACTGTGTTATATGAGGGAGCATCTGTAAAATCTTTAGCCTTGTGAAAACACTACCCTTCTCTGCTAAGCAATTGTGGCCTGTTGCCATGTTTTGAGAAGAAAGGAAATATATATATATATACCTATATATATCTCAAAAAAGGGGGGGAAATGTCAGCAGTTGTAAGGATTTGGGCAACAACAACAACATTCTGCAGTTTTTGCAATAGCTCATCTCTAATCCTATTTTAAAAGCTAAACTTGTTCCTGCTGACCACTCGTGAAGGTTTGTAATTTAAAAAAAGAAAAAAATAAAGGACTGAACCACTGCCCTAAAATGCTTTGATGTGGTTGAAATCTAGAGAAACGATTCGGAGAGTAGCAGGTGCTAAATATATCAGCACTAAATGCTGTATATATCACTCCATAAAGCAAGACCATCACAGAAAGATTAGCATTGGACATCTGAATCAGTTAAGTTTGACATGAGGTTAATGTGTTGATGAAACTAATTTTAAACCATTTCATACAATTATTGCTTTTCAAGGACTAAAAAATGGGGACAGTGTTACATCCTGTAACTGAAGAGAGATATGCCATGTAGTAGTACCGGATTATCACCCACTCTGTTTGCCTTGTGAGTTCTGGAGAGCACCCCAAAGCAGTTTTGTGTTCTGAGTTTACATATGGTTTGGTTGAAATTAAGATTTTGTTTTCCTATGAGTACATTCCCTTTATTTGATTTTGCTTTATTTTCATCTTCCTCTCATCTTTACAAAATAGCTACAATCATAAATCCACTCTTCTTTCAGGGTGAAATATTTCTGGCATATCATTATGTCCTGTGTTTACTGTTTAGTTTATTTAATTTTTGGGTTATTGCTGTTCTTTCTTAAAATCCCTGATTTGCTATCTACAATTTTACTGTATGCATTTTATATTTTTGAAAGCTAGATATCGGTCTGTTAGGCAACATCAATGAGATTGTCCAATCATGACAAAAGAGTAATCACTACACAGACTAATAATCACATGTTGCCTTAAAGGGTTATCTAGTATCTTCCATTTTGTTTAGCATCTTTTTTTGCAACTAAGCAAAGAAAAAAAATGAATCGGTTAACTCCAGTCTGTCATTTGGGAGTGCATGAATGATCACTTAATCCCCTCTTTCCTTTCGATTCCCATGATTCCCTAAATCAGTATGCTCATCACTTAGGATGATATGATTTCCTTGCCCAAATCCCCACCTTTAGGTGTGTTGCCCATTCTAGTTTGTTCTGAGAAACACAGGCAGTCAATGTATGTTTATATTTTAAGACAACTGTCATGGGAAGACTGCTGCCTTAGTACGATATCTTGCACAAAAGGTGGAGCATTTATTCTACTGAAGGCACCGTCTTGTTTATACTTTCTGCACATTTTGGTGTATTGGTTGTTTCCTATTCTTTCGATTTTAACTTGTGAAAGCATATAATATGATTTCTAGTATTTTAGAAATACATTAGAGTCTGTGAGTCTTTCCTTCTTTAAGATACAGATGTGTGGATTTCAATATAAAGTTGCATTTGCCAAAATTTACCTGTGTAGCCTGTTAATTTTCTTGGAATAAAATTTTACATTTTTCCACTTATACAACAACCCTTTTTTTGATCATGGTTATTATTCCTACTGTGGTTTTGTTTAGAGAGCATGGATTGTTGAGAATGTAGCTATTATTATTATTATTATTATTATTATTATTATTATTATTATTATTTGAAGCCACTGTATTCCCAAACTGTAAATGCATGAATGATGGGGACTGCAGGATTTGATAAATGATATTCTCAACAATAGCACTGTTGTGTAGTTTATCATAATTACCCCAATATCTATGTGTATATGTCAGATTTCCTTAAACACGCCACACATTATTTACGATAACACAATGTATAATAGAAAACTAACATTATGATTATGGCAAAGGGAGATTTAATTTCAAATTAACATCAAGTCTGTATTTCACTGTTGTTCTAGAATTCGCCATTTCTCATCCAAACATTCATGGAAAGCAGTTACCAGCTGGACTATTCTGGGGATATTATATTTTTCCCATTAATAAAAGTAGTGCTATTATTGCATATGAAGGAAAATAATTTGCTTAAGGATTAGGATGGAAACCTGATTCCATCAGTGCTGATGGCCAGCTTTGTAAGTTGACCTCATTTGTTCTTCACGCTAATGTTTATGGGTTCAAAGGCTAAATTTAGCACGCTGTGTTGAAACACGGCAATAATCAATCTTCATGAATACAAAAACATTTCAGGTCATAATCCCCAAGAGGCTTGAAATAAATGAAGTTCCAGAGACGTGTCCTACTGCCTGATCTAAATATACTATGGGAGTATTTGATGGTATAGCCTCACATTAATAGTACTGATATTTTTTAATACACAGAATCTCTTTTTATGCATTTTTCTCCTACATAGGTATAAGATAATTCTGAGATTCCCCTTTCACCTGGTCATGTGTGGATCATGAATGTGTTGTGTTGACTTTGTTTATATGTGCTGGGAAACATAGCTGCATGTTTTCAGTACATGTGCACATGATAAAATAGAGACTTGTGCAAAGTGGTTGAGCATAAGATGAATAGATTGCTGGTACAGGAGGATATAGAAGAAAGAAATTCAGTAACTTGTGATACAGTGATACAAAAGGCAGGTTTTAAAATGTCTCAGGGCCCTTCCACACAGCTGAATAAATTCCCACATTGGTTTGCTTTGAACCAGAATATACGGCAGTGCGGACTCAGATAACCCAGTTCAAAGCAGATATTGTGGGATTTTCTGCCTTGATATTCTGGGCTGTGTAGAAGGGCCCTAAACTGAAATCCGCCAAATGTTCAATTGCCAATGGCTTATGAATCAAGATGCAGGCCAGTTAAATAATATTTCGCTTTATATATTAAAAATACAATTGAAGGTTATTCTTCTAAAGATTACTAAAGTATATTGGTAACAAGGGGCCATATATCCCAGTTCAAAGCAGATATTGTGGAATTTTATTCAGCTGTGTGGAAGGGGCCTAGGTTCTATACAATATCTACTTTCACTAAAGATAATGAATGTACATAAATAAAGGAACAATTCTGATTCAAGTTTCAAAGACCAGAGAATCAAGTGTATCTTGCCTCAATCAAGTTGAATTTTGCAACTAGTCTGATAGGAATGAGTACCTACCTAACATTGTAACTGTATAGTTTGTGAATAGGAACTGAGCCCCTGTTTTCATATATTGGTGTGCAGTTTTACAAATATCACAGTATAGAAAGTTACAAGAAGAAGCCACTCAAAGATTTAAAACCAGATTTGTTTTGCATGAGTTTGGATGGGTTTGGCTTTCGTTTTCCTCCTTTGAGAAGAGGAAGAGGTGTACCAATTGAAATTAAAAGGCAACACATGAAACACCCAGTTACTTTCTTTGTAAAAGACACATTGACCCCCAAATTATACAGGGAAATGGCTTAATACAGTTCCTAAAAGGATTATATGCTTACATGGATTAAAATGGTGTATCTGGACAGCTGTTATAATTTTGGGTAGCCTCATGTTCCGTGCATAAAAGGATCGAGGTTAGGAAGAAAAAATGCCTGTTTTGTTGGATAGCTGCCTTCTTATACTATGGGATGTTTTCTTCAAAATGCTGGGATGGGTGCCACTGGATCGTAATGGAGTGGCACAAGCATTCCTGGTCAGCATTTCATGTTATCTTCTAAATGTCAGCATTTATTGATTTTGTTTAGTTTTGTTTCTCTTGTTGGACTTAATATTAGAGTTGACCTTCGTCTTCAAAGTGCCACGTGGTACAGTTTTCATTGTACCGAACGCCGTGGGGCTAGGGCTACATGGTTGAGTGCTTGTGCATATAAAAATGTCCTTGCACAGGGAAATTAAGCTATGTGGTGTTTTTGAATGGGCAGTTTACATGTTCAGACCTTCCTTACTTGGAATATTATCCTTTACCCAGACTATGAAAGACAACGTGAGCAGTAAACCTAATTAAATAAAATTGAATAGCTCAACCTGTGCCCTTTTCCCTTATGGTAATGTTGGACAAGATGCAGCTGTCTTGATATTAGATAACTTCAATTCCCATCAGCCCTAGCCAGCTTAGCCAGTGGTAAGGAACGCTAGGAGTTGCAGTTCATTTTGTAAACTGCTGTTAAGAGTGTTTACTTAAAGTTTATTTTTCCTTTCTCCACTTAACCAATTTAATGTTTTTCATCTATTTTCTTCCTACTTTCTTAATCCAGTTCTGACAGCAATTCCTGGAGTTTTCCTTTAATAGCAAATCACAGATTGAGTTGCAGTTCTTACATGGCACACGCTGCTAGCCTAACAAAAATGCCAAGGCACATTTTGTAATAAGTGTGTCTCCTAAACCTATAATAATGTGACAGTATGCATGGTGACTATGCACAATGTAGTTACTATCTTGAGAATCACCTATCTTGAGATAAGATTTCTGAAATTCTGAAATGGTTGCAAAATGTGTGTGAAGGCTTATTTTTGAGAACCTTGGAGGACAGACAGTGTTCCCATGTGTGAACGATGGGACCCACGTTCATACATGGGAACATTGTCTGTCCTCCAAGGTTCTCAAAAATAAGCCTTCACACAAATTTTGCAACCATTTCCCATCTATATTGCCATGTAATGCAATTTCACAATGTAGTTTAACTGCATTGAACTGGATTATATGAGCCTATACTACCATATAATGAAGTTCAATATAACCTTTGGTGTAAATTGTCAAATTAAAGCTGCACATTTTCATCACAAGGCAACACCATGTGTCCTTCCACATTATACATCATAGGACTATGCTGCACCATAACTGGCACACCAACATCCCATGGAATCCTGGGATCTGCAGTTTATGGAGAGGAATATCAAATGATCAGCTCAGAGAGGTCAAATGCCTCAGCGATCTATAAGCCCAGGATTCTATTATTATTAGTAGTAGTAGTAGTAGTAGTATGAATATTGGTATTATTAGTATTATTATCAATATTATTTACCCGCCTCTTCTTATGGCTTGAGATGTTTCCATAGTAGCTAAAGTGGAATATAGTGCTATAACTGTGCATTGTGACCGGACATGCTTATTATTGGAATTTCCATCCTGTTGAAGAATTTCAAATATTTTCTAAGGGAAGAAAACTGGAACATGGCATCCCCAAGTATGCAGACTTAAGAACTATTTATACATAGGTGTATATGTTATATTGATTTCATTACAGTACTAGTATCTACTCATGACTCATGCTTGTGATTCATGTTCTTAGAAGGAAAGACATCAAGGCGTCATCCTCAATGGCAGGCTACCGACCAGTGTTAGATATGAATGGGGAACATGAAGCCATCTTTGGGTTTATCTTTCACTCATTTTGGTGCAAAGTTTGCATTTTTGTCTGTGAGGGGTATCATGACAGCTTATGTGCCAGTGTGCTGTGCTTCTGCATGCTCTGAGGCCTAGTGATTAATTGATGGATAATTTTAATGTGCTAAGCAAGCTGCAGTTGATTCATTTAGTGATTCAACCAAAGGCTTGGAGCTTTAATTGATTCAAGTGTGAAACCTGTCTTTACAGGTTTATCGTGATCTGAACTAAGGATTGTCATGTTCTTGGCTGATTCGGATGTGAATTTATATTAGAATGGCAAGTGGTGATAACAGCCTCATGAGCTGAAAGATGTGGTCCTCTTTTGGTCCATATCTTATCCCTATGCTTCAGTTGTGAAGATTGAGGCCCCTTCTACACTGCCATATAATCCAGATCAAAGCACACAAGCCACATTATCTGCTTTGGACTGGATTATATGAGTACATATCCATATAATCCAGTTCAAAGCAGAGAATCTGGATTCTATATGGCCATGTAGAAGGGGCCTGAGAAGTCAAAGCATTTCTTCCAAAGGGGATTTGTAAGCCAGATACAGTAGAGTTTCACTTATCCAACCTTCGCTTATCCAACATTCTGTATTATCCAATGCAGTCTGCCTCCCTTCCGGAATAATGTTTTGGTGCTAAATTCGTAAATACAGTAATTATTACATAACATTACTGTGTATTGAACCGCTTTTTCTATCAATTTGTTGTAAAACATGATGTTTTGGTGCTTAATTTGTAAAATCATAAAGTTATTTGTTGTTTAATAGGCTTTTCCTTAACCTCTCCTTATTATCCAACATTTTCACTTATCCAACATTCTGCTGGCCTGTTTTGAATAAGTGATACTCTACTGTAGTTCAATGGAAAGTTAGAGAATTGAAAGCACTTTCTTCTTGTGCAGAAAGCGGATTGTGTTGTTTCTTGTTGCTCAGTAGGACAAATCTCTCAAGTTGCAGTAAGAAAATGTATGGAGTGGTTGACAAGTTAAGAAAGCAGGGAAGTCTATCTATTTTGTTTTCCATTGCTTCCAAAAGGTAACAAAGATGAAGAGGTAGGATTTCTGTATTTCTCCCTATGTCACCTTTAGATGTTGTTTTTCTCCAGCTGACTGTGGTTGCATTGTTTTATTTATTCTTTTCTGAT